TGCGCTCTGACCCAGAGGAAGAGGGGCCACGCGGGGCCACTGACCCCGTCCTGAGCCCAAGCGTCTGCACAGAGCCACACAAGGACATGCATCCATCAGAGAACGGCTAAATAATAATGCATCATATTGCTGCCTTTATTTTGGATTGCCTTCATGTCAGGAGTGCATCGGTGATGCCTCAGGGCCAAACATATGCAAGTACATGAATTCAAAGGCTTCTAGCTATGCAGTTGCATTGCAAAATGTGTTAGAATGCAAATGCACTGCAAAATACTGTGAGTTAAAGTTAAAATATCAACATATTCATAGCATCAAAAGAAACCCAGGTTAAAAAGAAGCAAGGAAAGCATGCATGAACTTAATAAAATGTATACCTTGAGTGCAATGTAAGTTGCAACTGCATAGCAACACCCTGGCAACCATATAGTAATGCCCTAGAACCTACCTAGAACACCATAGCAACTGCATAGCAACACACTAAGAATACAGTACCTGCATAGCAACACCCTGGCAGCCATATAGCAATGACCTAGAACCTACCTTCTGTAGAACACCATAGCAACGAAATGTTGTAACAAGCTCGGAAAACATAAAAAATCACATAGCAACACACTAAAACACACTATTGCCTTCATAGCAACACCCTGGCAGCCATATAGCAATGCCCTATAACCTACCTACTGTAGAAAACCATAGCAACATAATATATGCCATTTAGAACATACCAGCAATCATATAGCAACACCTTAGCAACTGCATAGCAACACCCTGGTAACCATATAGCAATGCCCGGCCTAGAACCTACCTTTTGCAGAACACCATAGCAACTGCATAACAACATGATATACTAAATGAAGTTCAGAACACGAAAGCAATCACATAGCAACACCTTGGCATCTTTCTAGAACACCCTAACAACTGCATAGCAACACATTAAAACCGCTCTGAACACCTTAGCAACCACGTGTCTTCATGTCAAAAACACTGCAAGTTAGTTTAACTATCAACATATTTGTAGCTTTGAAGGAAACCCAGAAATGCATGCAATGTACATGTAAATACAACACACAGTTTGCGTCATACTTGTGTAAAGTGTCTTTTTTTCTCTTTAAATGCTACACAGTCTGAACTCTAGGTTTGCAGACAGAAAGATGCTGATATTTATTAGATCACATTCCACCATTTTGATTTTCCGTCTTGCAACACGTTCAGGTCTCCAACAAACACACACTCCTCCCTCCACAGTCGGTCTCATCTATACTATCTGTTGTTTCTCCCCGTCTCTCCCTCTATCTGCTCTCATTTTCGTCACCAAACACCTCGTTCATACTCACTCTGACAGTGGTCTGGCCCCGAACGAATTACACGAGCGCTTCTGAGCCCAACGTTCAGATAATTCACACATGCCTCACACAAACACACATTCATAGACATCTCTTCTAGCAATAAAGGGATAGAAATAAAAAGCATATGTGACAAGAAAACATCAGTGATGATGATCATAGAAATGTTTTAATCCTCCTTTTGTTTTATTAGACGTGTTTTCTAAATCAGTAGTCACTAGTACTAGTGCTCATGTGATGCGATCAAACAGCCCGCAATACTATGGCAACCACATAGCAGCACACTAAATACAATTTGGAACATTTTAGCAACTGCATAGCAACACCTCAACTCCCACAACAACCTAAAAATGGCATAGCAACACATTCAAAATTATTTGTAACCTCGTAGCACCTGTGTAGCAATGCCCTGGCAACCACCAAGAATAATATGGAAACTTTATAAAAACACTCAGAACACTTTAGCAAATGTTTCTTTAGCTGATTCCCAAAATACCCTAGCAACTGCATAGCAACAAATTAAAAATGACTTGGAGCATCTTTGCAACTGCATAACAACACCCTGGCAACCACCCAGAACACAGAATACTGTGGCAACCACATAGCAGCACATTAAAAGCCACTGAGAACACTTTAGCAACTGCATAGCAACACCCTAGCAACCACCCACAACACCCAAGCGTTGTGCTTGTTGCAAATACCACTTACATTTTCTTTAAACTAAGTCGGATAAATATAAAATTATAGACCTCTGAACCATTTCTGTTTTTTTGTAACGTAGTAATCTTCTTTTGTAAATTGATTTAAATTTTAGCGTTTCAGCAGATGATGCAAAATTCCTACCTTCTACTTTATTGATGTTGTTGATCAGCAGTTTCATCTAACAGCATCACTTATGTCAGTTTTATTAAATTATTATCAATGCATTTGTGTATTAATTTTATATGATGCTGAAAAGGGACAATAAATTCTAAGAAACAGCAGTGAAAATGAAATCATCTGCTTGATCTCAGAGCCTCTCTAATATAACACTTGTATTGTAGAGGAGCAGAGGACTTCACGTTGACCAGAGGCTCGATTATCAGACGTGTGACTGGGATCACAGGCCAGCAGCAGCAGCAGCAGCCATGGAAAGTTTCCCATTGAGGATGGAGACGGAGCCGCTGAGGAAGCGGGGAGCGATATGGAGGAGATCTGCTGACTTTCCAATTATTCCAGAACCTGCTTAACTCAAACTGCATCCTGCCCTGCTTTGGACTCACTATCAATAATATCCTCTGTGAGACTGATGTGTGTGAGACTATTATCTGCAATACACAAATCCAATTCATTCACTCATTTTCTGCTAAAAAGTATCACAAAATCTTTCAAATGAGGTTTTTTTTCATTTATTTTGTTTATCCTTACAAAGTGTATCTTGATGTGCATTGTTTTTCTTTATATCAGCAGTTTTGTTACACTTTACTTAAAGCCTTTATGTATAATGCATTAGAAACATATTCAAAATGTTTGTTGTAATGCATTGTATCTTTTCATAAATAATAGTAACCAAAGTTAAAATGCATTATAATACTTGAAGATGTGTTTTAATGCATTTTAGGCTAAATGTGTAGCAATGAATAGATTAGTACTACAGTCAAACCAAAAATTCTTCAGACACCAGATATCATTTTTTTTTAACTTGCGGGTGCAGGACACTATAGTTCATAAATGTAAGTGAGGATAGCAAAATTAAGTGAACTGTGACACCTAAAATAGGCTACTTCATACAGTGGAATAGCAGTAAAATTATATGGTGCATTGCACCAAAAACCAACAACTTTAAACTCTGATTTTGCAATTAGATTTTTTTGTTTAAACAATGCAATGTTGACGCGTGACGTCAGTGATGCGCGGGACATCAATCATATCCATCACTCTTCCTGCACATATTAGAAATATAAACACAATATTAATACATAGAATATTTGTAAATATTACTTGCATATTACTGTAATACTAATACATCAAAATATGCTAATTAGTTAGCCTTGTAAAACATGATTTTTGTTTTACTTTTAAAAGTGAGACATGATAGAAATGATGCGTATAGCCTATAATTGATATAGGCCTAATACAGGTTTTCTTTATTTTACTGACCTACTAAATTCACATACACGAATGTATATAGCTTAATTTAAAAATATATATAAAATCGTCATGCAGTTACGATGTATTATAATTTAATATCTGACTGGACTCACACATTTTATATAACTCTTAGGAAATAATATTGTAATAAAATAATTTGAGTATTCCTGTATCAGCGTTTTTAATTCGGAAAGATCTAAACTCTTCACTGCTTTTCTCTTCTCCTTTGCTTATTTAAGTAATTTAATCAAATTATTTATTGAGGGTCTCAGTCAAGTGGGTTTCATCTTTAAATGTGAATTTTTCATATATTCTTGTAATTTATGCTCATTGCTTGCAATACCGGAATATGTACGTGTGTGTGTGTGTGT